CCTGTGCTCCTTGTGTTTCTCCTCCCCTGCCCGGCTGTTTCTCGTCTTGTGATTACCCCTCCCTGTATTTAGTCTTGTCTCTTCCTGTGTTCAGTGTTGGTTCGTCTTTTGTTTGTGACTGAGTTCACCGTGGAGTGTTTTGTGTTTCCATGTGATATGTTCGATAAGAGCCCTTGAAATAAAGGTATTATCAGTATTAGCTGCGTTTGGGTCCTACCTGCTTCACTCCTCGTATCAACTTCCAGTTCAATAAGATGGAAGGATGCATATTGATCTTTAGAGTGTATGAGTAATTCAAAAGCAATCTCCACTCAATCTCAAGCTAAAGAAATGACACATCTCTTTTTCTTTGATTGTTTGCAGGGTGCAATAGTTGAAGATGTGCATTGTACACTATTGTTATGCTTTGGGAAGCGATATTGTCTTTTTACTTGGCAAGGGGACACACTGGGCCCTGTCTTTGTCTAGTACGGTAATAAAGCAAGCCGCGGCCCCTTTAATAACAAATACAGTTCATAATTACTAGAGTGCAACAAAGACTTTTGGATACAATAGCCATTTGACTAATGTATCCAAAAGCACAGAGTGTCTCCACCCTGCATGTCCACCCCACCAAGATAATTTCCTCTACACCCACACCCACGGGTCCCCCATGGATAGATCATATCAACACATAAATGATAGCCAGTTACTTTACAAGGGACAAGATCTCTGTGAGATGATAGACATGCTTGCAGAGATGCATACAAACTCACACGCACACTTATGGACACTGTGTGCACACTTACACATATGCATGCTCACAGATTGTCTCCAATGCATAATCACATATGCACACACACATGCTCATGCACAACTTTTTACACACTATCACACAAAAGCTCCCACCCTGGTTTCTTGCTGCTGACAGCCTTAATGCGGCCAGAGGCTGAAGCATCTGTGTTGACCCAGCCTAAGGTCTTTTCCCTTTTGGCTTCCTATAGAGGCTCCACCAAGCTGTGTCTGCAACACACAGCACTTTTGAATCTTCTCTCTTTTTGCACACCATCCTTTGCCTTTTCTCTTCCCTAAACTTTAATCAGTCTACATACAACAATCTCCAATAATTTACTTTAACAATAAAGTCTGTTGCAAATTGTTTTCTGTAAAGCTTTATGCCGTTCAAACTGTACATGTACATTTATATAGGTACGTCTATCCTTGTCAGAGGGAGTTTTTGAAGTGTGTACAGAGGAAATACTATATGGTAGTAAGTTGTTCTGGCTCCTGGGCGACACAGGTCACACTAACAGGTCAAAGGGACAATACAGATCTGAGCCAGGACTTTTTGTTAGCCAAGTTATCATGGAGACAAAGCAACTCCAACCTGGGTGTAACTTTTTCATTTTAATTTGATTTCTGCTAACTGAACCATTTTTTTGTTACAGTTTACATTATGTCGTTCATGCACCATTTGACTTTGCACTATAAAATTGACACTAAACTTTTTCAGATGTTGTCAAACTTTGCAAATATCGATATTGTTTGATTTTTGACAATCCAGCATGCAATATAATATTCCTTGCTGGCCAAAGCAAGCCATGAGCTCCTGAAATGGAAAACAGGATATCTTAAACAATAAGAAGTTGAGTGAACCTCAAGTCAATTGTCTGAAGCCGCAAGGAAATGTAAAATAAACATCAAATCAGCCCAATTGTTTTTCAGAGAAAATGAGAAAGGCGTTTGCAGTTGTTCCAAGCAAAAGTTTGAAAATGACAGTGCAGCACTTTTAAAAGATTGGAGCAGGAATGGCAGAATAGACACAACAAGCATATTGTTCATCATTTCCTGAGTCTGACTGATTAGAACAGTGAGGAAAGGGGGGGGGGTGGACATAGAAGCTGCAGGGATAGTAACTAACCCATTAAAGTGAGAGAACAAAGCTGTTGCATTTGGCAAAGCATAATACCAGCTGCTGCTGCATTTGGTGTACTGTATGTTTACAGAGAAAATCAAAGCAGCAATAAAATGCAATGTCAGCACCAGAAGACACATGGGCCATGCAGAGTGCAGGTCTTGGCCACACAGATGCATGTGAAGTATGGGGAGATACAAAGTAGTGTGTTGAGTATTCAAAACGCAGCATACATTAGATGTTATCCATGTCATTATCCAAAAATGCATGTCACAACATTTCTGACATGAACAAAATATTGATGCTTCAAATATTGTGACATGGGATGTGCAACATATTTCACATGGCACAGATCTAAATCATTATATAACAATCCAAACAAACACAATATAGACAATATAACATTGAACTAAGCTTGGCTTAAATAGAATAATAATGCCCCAGAAGATTGAAAGTATAACACAACTATTATACCACTGCTAAAATAGTATCTGTAATAAATAACAATTACCAATGGTATGCAAAGACAAGGGAGAGTGGTTGGCATTGTATTGGAACAAAAAGGAACTCATAAATACATTAATCGGATCGGGGAGGTCTGGAGCGCCAGCAGTCCTCCGCTGTCTGGTGACGCTCTTCCTTCCTCCCCCACCCAGAGAAAGCTGAGCTTTACTGAAGGAACAACTCTTAGTGAGGGACCGTGATACCATCTCTGTAAGTTATACAGGACCGCTCTAGTCGTTAACAAGAGATTTTACACCTGAACCGGAGCTCCGGGTGATTCGCCAAGTTATGCGTAATATAGCGCACCACTCGTCGTGACGCGGCGTCACTGTATTAGATGTACAACTTTATCCTTAATAACGACAACCTTCTACACATGAGGATTATTAATACAACGAGGATTATGTTGGTGTTTTTATTTGGCTTTCTTGGTTTATCAGGTAAGTGGGAATTTATTTGTATATTGTTTGGTTAGCTCTAAAACGAAGCTAAATTGAAGTTGAATATTGAAGTTGGCTTTCATTTTCGGGAAATTTTATGTCTATTAAGAAATATACATGTTCCACCTCTATATACACTATTTCATTGCTACATTACTGTAAATACTTTATGTTATGTTAGTCAAAAATTGCGCAGGAATGTAGAGTGTGGATACCAAACCCCTTTGGGAAAACAGGAGCTCATCCATGTTTCCTGCCATTGTTCTGTGGATCTGGGGCTAAAATACCAGTAAGAACTAATGCTGGACAAACTAACAATACTGGGGTTGGCACTTAAAATAATTACATTCCTGGAAGATTTTTTATTTTTGGACCAACATTTTGTAGGGATGTTGTTGTCAGTTTCTCAATCCTTATATCAGGTGCCAGTGTGTAAACAGTTGTTATTCCATGAGCCACTTGTGTTATGAAGATACTTAGGACGAGATTTAAGAAATTAGGTAATGTTCACATGGTCTACATTACGGTTTGCTATATTCCCTCTAAAGTGTATGGAAAAGGGTCGACATCATAATTTAATCCAGAAAAATAACTGTTGACATAAAGTGCCGAATATGTGCAAAACTGATGTTTTCCATTGTGAGCTAACATCAATTTTAGAAACAAGATTATGTATCAGAATAAAATATTTTCTATTAAAAACCCGCACCAAATAATGACAGTGAATAATGATGTCTGAAGAGTATACAATATATATTATGTGTAATATAATTTCTGTAGAGGTCTAGAGGCAAACTCAATAATGTTTTTTTTGAGTTGCAAAATTCCAAAACATCAGCAATAAAAATGTTCAAGACCATCACCTGAATATACGCCAATGCTGTTCTCGTGTGAATCAGATAACTTACAAGAGATTTTATCATCATAAGGATGAAGTAACAGCCATATTTCTTGCTCCAAAAAAGGAGGAGATACAGTTTTTAGTCTAAATCAACTGCAATGGGCAGAGATTCTGCCAAAAATAAATACAAAACTTTACTGACTCAAGGTTTTAATCATAGTAGTCTGATAATCAAGTCAAGCTCCTTACAACTCATATAACTGTTGGTCACACTTTAACAAATGCATTGCCCTGTCTTGCAGATGCTGTGATAGACTTGACCATGATCTCCACAGCGGAGGTCACCAACGTCAGTCACTTCTCCATCTCCTGCATCAATGGAGAGCGCAGCCCTGCCCATGTTGAGCTGGACATCAAGAGGGACAACAAAATCCTCGTTTTCCCCAAAAAGCCACATTTTAGGGTGCATAAGCCGAAGAACAGGGAGGCGGTCGCCAGAGATTTCCGTGAGCTGGACCATATCGGTATCTTCTACTGTGAATCTACTCAGGATGTTCCCCCTCTTGAGACCGTCACCATGATCAATAACTTTGGCAGAGGTGGGTGGAGACTTCATACAAACAGCTTTTGGAGATTTTTGACTGATCAAAGCCAAACCAGCTCCAGATTATTTATGCTCTGAAGCATCCAGTTTTCTCTGTGTTTTACTTGGTAAATAACTGTGTGTATCTGTGTTCCTTTATAGCTAATTTTATCCCAACTCACCTTACAATGACTGCTAACAAAGGAGAGACAGTTCACCTCAGCATGCAGCTACTCGGCTCCCAAAAGAGAGATGTGACCTGGAAGTACAACGGTAAGCCAGTTTACAAGTCAAGACAGATACAGGAAGTTTAAAATTCATTTAAGAGATGGTAGAATCATAGATTTTGGATTACATTTCAATTATGAATAGAATATAACAGTACTTTTTAAGACATTGGAATTGTTGCCATTCATATTTTCTTCTTTCTTTCATGTAGGAAACTACTTTTATATGACTCACTGGAATGATGTGATTAATCGCACAGCAGTACTCACTCTGGAGAGCACAGCTTTTGAAAATCAAGGCATCTACAGCGCCAGCTATGTGGGGGACAGCCCTCTTCAGGGCGCCTGGATGCGACTCATTGTCAGAGGTTTGATCATAAATGCAATTAATCACAACAGAAATAGCTCATATATATTAGAAATAAACAAGATGGGTGAAACCACAGACATATTTGGGTTATACCTCATAATAAATTAATGAATTATAAAAAACTAATTCCTGACACAAAGACTTGGAGAAATCACTGCTCTTGCCCAAGAAATAGTCGAGCACTAACATAAAAATTGCTGATCCCACAATAAATGTTCGTTATGGATTAAACACATGACATTTAGTGAGCTCAAGAGGGGCTCTTAGGCAGATTTGTTTTCAACTTTGGAAGGAGGCAAGTTAGCTGTGTCCCCTTTTTTCCAGCCTTTATGCTGAACTAAGCTAACCGGCTGTTGGCTCTAGCTTTTTTAAATAAGATAATACTGATGTGAGATTGTGATCCAAGTCTTGGAGGAAAAGCAGATAAGTACTTTCCCCAAATGACAAATTACACCTTTAAATCAACACCAGCCAAAAACAGTGGAATAATGGTCTTGATAGAATTTGAGCTTGAACATGCGTTCAAGTGTTTAAGTGAGAAAGCCAGTGTGTGTTATATTTCCTGTACTGTAGCTCTGTATTGTAGAGACGTCAGCAGTCTCAACACCATCTCCACCCTCCACCTGCACTGCTCTGAGATTCCACAATTTCCTCTTTCAGTAGATTTAATAGTTTATATTTTTCTGAGAATTTTACAACACGATTTCATCCTAATACAAATACACAAAAGAAAAAAAGAAGATTTATCATTGCTCTTTGGGGTTTAAAAGACTGAAAGCTGAAATGTTACATGGAGGTTCTGTAACATTTTCAAGGATGACATCATTTGTATAGACTTTGTGTAAGTAGTTTCAATATCTTTTCTCTGTAGACTGTACTAGTAAGAAGTGGGGTCCTTACTGTGACAAAGACTGTCCGGAGTGTCTCAACGGTGGAGTGTGTCACGATGTTGATGGAGACTGTATGTGCCCGCCAGGATTCATGGGGACCCGCTGTGAGACAGGTTTGTACATCCTCATAAGTATAGACATACTCATTTGTTTATGTGTACATTACATGATCATAATGACATCGATAACATTATGATGGTTAGCAGATGTTGTTGTTGTTAACCATGCTTACCTCCTAACTTTCATTTGCTATCATGCCCCCTTTCGTTAATAAGGCTGCACCTGATGGAAATATCATTTTGTCGAACACTGATATAAAAAATCATACAAACACAGAGTGAACATTTAAAATGGTCTTAGTTTGATTGCTGCCCCAATGGTTTCCTACCCATATATACAATTATGTGTTGAGCTTTGAGTACAGTTCCTAAACTATTTGTCCTTTTAGTATTGCAATCAAATACAACTATGAAGTTAAAATGTTGATGACTTCATTGGCAGAGTGATGAATCTGTCCCGTGGGGTGTTTTGCAAGGCAGGTTGAGCAATGATTCAGAAACTTAAGGAATTTAAACCTTCTCTATTGGTTTGCAGCATGCAGAGAAGGAATGTTTGGCCGAAACTGCCAGGAGTCATGTGGCGCCGAGCTGAACTGCAAGGGGCTACGGTTCTGCCTACCCGACCCTTATGGCTGCTCCTGCGCCAGCGGCTGGTTTGAGAGCCGTTGTGAGAAAGGTGAGCACTGCGTCACTTAATTGCGTCCCTGTATTGTTAATTAAAATAATATGCATGTAAGTTATTTGACGTGTTTTCATTCCTTTGTGTGTTTATTTTCTGACAGCCTGCCTTGATGACATGTATGGACCAGACTGCAGCCTGAGCTGTAAATGCCAGAACGGAGGAGTTTGTAACCGTTTCAGTGGATGCCACTGCCCGACAGGGTGGAGAGGACAGAACTGCGAGAAGTCTGGTAGGTATCGCCACATCATATCAATCCCTCTTCTGCTCCATTCCTTCCTTTAGCTCTGCCTCCTCTGTGGAATGTAATAAACTGCATTCATAGTCTATATTTACTGTACGAATATCACTTATCATTTCTGATTATATTTAAATGTTTATCATCCTGCTCAACATATATCACCACCTTCTTCCTTATCAGGACAGCAAACATTGCACTAGTTACAATATGTACAAACCCAATTGCAAACTCAAGGTTAATATCTTGTTTCATTAAACTGTTTCACCAGACAACCTGACACGTCATTATGTTACAACAGAACCCCAATAAAAGCAGGATTAAGCCAACTTGTCTACTGTAGTTACACTTGTTTATTAAATTGAACGTAATTCTTGAGCCTGGAACCAACCTGTTTCTTACGTTTTTTAACCATTAATGGTTGACCTGTCTTTATCTTTGGAAGTCAAGAGTGTCCTACTTATTTTCCTTGAACAAAAAATACAAATTAAAATATCATCTTTGGAGATATAAATGGAACTAAAAAATATATATAGGTAGTGAAGGCATGTGGTACAGCTATGGCTTTTTCTCTGGGAAAGGTTTTGAAATACACTGCTAAAAAGTTAGCAAAATAAGTTAATTTTCTTGCAGTGATCGATATAATCCACTTTGTCATCCACGGTGTCTTTTTCTAAATCTCTGCTCCCTTCCTCTCAATGTTCAGACCGGGCTCCCCAGATTTTGGATTTGGATAATAACTTAGAGTGGAATCTGAACTCCAGCCCAAAGATATTCTGTTCAGCAACAGGCAACCCCCTGCCCAGCCACGACAGCATTGAGCTGCGAAAGTTGGACAGCACTGTGCTAAAGGTAAGCAAAAACATATTTGCTTGCAACACTCCTGCCAAGATGAGTAGATAGTTCACATGTTGGATATATTTCAAGTCAAGGTAGAGATAAACACAAGGCCACACAGGGTGGAGGAGTTTGAGCCAATGGTGCCGTCATCTTATCATTATCAATTTCTTGCATTTTTTAATAATGTTGCATTACATTAGGGACAGCCATGTTAGCTGTTTCCTCATCTCTATGCTGAGGTAATCCTGCTTCTTAATAGCATGAGGGCAGTATTACTCTTCTCATCCAACATACAGCTAGAAAGCATATTAGCACATTACTAAACTTGCTCATAATTGTGAAATCAAATAAATAAAGCACTTCTGGGAACATTGTAATCAGCTTTATAAAAACGTTAAATCGTCCTGTGCCTTTAAGATTGAGCTCATGATTACAAGGTTGAGTCAAGCTTGGAGGAAGTCAACAACACAATGGACTGAGGAGATAAGGATGTATCACTGCACAGTGCAGCAGTTACCATGTGTTGCCCATAGGTGACATGTTCAAATCTTCTGTTATTCTTTCTGTGCCGTTTCCTTGATAATATAAACAATCTGATAAAGAATTGTACCAGCACTTCACACAGGAACAGAGGAAGTTCTCAGAGTGAGGACAGCAAATAGAAATGTGTTTTTTAACTTTCATTGATTGCATTGTGTTGTGCTTTACTCTCAGGCCTCGAGCACTACCATGGACTCCAATAAGAGTACAGCCATGTTTGAGATCCCTCGCCTGAGTGCTCAACAAGGAGGATTGTGGGAATGCAGGGTGTCCACCAATGGGGGCCAGGACTCCAGCAAATTCAACCTCACCATTAAAGGTCCGTGTGAGAGGACAATATTTTTTTTTGTGACCTTTTCCTGTATGCAAACACTTCATAAGAGAATATTTTGCTGCGTCTACTCAGAGCCCCCTGTGCCCACTACTGCTCCCAAACTGTTGGAAAAAAGGAGTAAGCAGCTGCTGGTGATGCCGGTTGAATCCCACAGAGGAGACGGCCCCATTGTCTCCACTAGGCTCCTCTACAAGCCTGTGGAGAACGGAGACTCTTGGTCCTCCATCATAGGTAAGATATCATAGCAGTATGTCATTTAGTCTGCTGTTATCACATAAATCAGCATTATCAGAAGATACATTTCAATACATTTTCCACCTATTATAATGTATTAGCCACAGTTACAGCGTGAAACAAGTAATTGCTCTTTGCCCAGATATACAATAATCTGGGCAAGAGCAATTTTGCGAGTATTTCCACTATTACTATGTGGAATACTGGCCAAAGCACATTAATGAAACTTATTTTTAAGAAACACTGAGTTGTGTTTTCTCTTATGAGGTTAAGAGTGTGCATCATGTTGTACTGAGTCTTTGCCAATTGCCCCCTATACAATTTGATCTTGTTTTACATTAATTTACTGTGTCTATAATACTTATACATGTATTTCTAAAGACAACTGTTATACTCAAACTTTTAACATAAAACCAAACCCTTCTGTAATTCCTTATGTCCACTTACTTTCAGTTTATAGTGACAAAGAGCCCATCACGCTAATGAACCTGGAGCCATCAACACGCTATCGTGTCCGCGTCCAGCTGAGTCGTCCTGGGGAAGGCGGAGAGGGGGCTCCGGGGCCAGAGGCCATCATGGAAACAGACTGTCCCGGTAAGACTCAAGGATAACTGGGACCACACACATACTGAACATAGTAGTATATATGTCTGGAAATCTTGCCTGGGAATAAATGTCTATTATCTGTACCACATAACTTAAGCAAGCACAATTATCTTGTGTCTGGTTGGTCTAATAGTTTGCAGTGCACTGCCTTTCCCAGGCCTAAAGGAGCCAGCTGTCTTTTCCCCAGTGAAGGGACAAATATAGAAAGATACCAGTGGACTGAAATGATCTCTGCGCACTTATCTGGAAAAAAACAAAAAACTAAAGGGACAAACCTTTGTCATCCAAAGATCACGAAGCGTATCACTCTCAATCAAATGACAGAGTCAAGTGATTTAATTCCTCAGTGATTGTGGTGTAGAGAGAGAGGACATACTGTATCTGAGTAAAGAAAAATTAGGAAATACAAACAAAATGGCTTTTCTTTTGATTTGGACTATTTTTACTATTTGGCAATGTGGATGTACTCATGTGTGAAATGGAACAAATTGTATTGGTTACAAGGCAAGTTCATGTTGGTCTCCTGCACCACCACACTCTTTTTGTTATAGTGACTGGTACAAAGTCGTTTTCAAAATTATTTACATGACAAATTTGCATTTAAAACGAAGAGATATCTTGTGATTTTGTTTAACATGAAAGTGATAGTTCCCTTAGGTTTTGGGATGCATTACTTTTTTACGTTTGTGTAATGCATTATAGGTGTATAGTGGACAACATTACTAACAATACAGTACACTCAAAAATCAAGGGTTTTAAGTATGTATATTGACTGTTTTGAGTATGCTTTATCCTTTAACTTTCTTCATGTAAACTGTATACTTACTTTGAACTTGTATGTAATTTGGATTTGGGGCATGGACATGCACAGATGCTCCAATCAAGCTGCATGTCTGTAGATTTGGTGAGGAAACCAGAGCAGCCTCAGAAAGCCCACATAAACTGTGGGGTTCATTTAGAAAGGGCCAGGGCCAATATTCAAAGCTAGTGTGAGCTAACAGTTCTAACGACTGTACAGCAGCCAAGGAATATAAACTAAGGTTACGGTCCAATTCCCTTCAAAAAAACATTATCCATCCCTCAGCGGTCAATTTGACTGAACTGTGAGTGATGCAATGAGAGAAATTCACAATGAGCTGTTGGCCCCTCAGCTCATCCTGTGTTCTCTGTCACTGCAGAGCCCACAGTTCAACCTGAGATTGACATCAGCTCTATGGAAGGCCGCAATGCCACAATACGCTGGCGCCTGCCCCCCAACAATGGCATTAATGCCGGCACAGCCAGTGGCTTTTTAGTGCAGCTCTTCGGGCCTCCACCCTACAGTGAGAAACTACTGGAGGAGACCACCCTGCTCACTGTGCTGTCCACAAAGTTCCACAACCTGCAGTACCAGCAAGACTACACCGTGGTGGTGCACCTCATCAACTGTGGCAGCCAGGGGCCGCCCTCCAAATCCTACCACTTCCGCATCAACAGCCAGGGTAACTAGAAACTCTGCTGTTAATAAGCTACAAGAAAGGCTCCTTCGAAATGTTGCAGGATTTTCAATGCAGTAGGATTGTGCTTGATTTTTGCTTCATGACTCTCTCCCTGCGCACTTGAGGAAAAGTAAAGCAGCTGAAAGTTAAACTTTAGGAACAATCCAGTTTAGTTTGCAATTAATGAGATCAACAAGATAGAAAAAGATAAACCCACATCTTTGTTATCAGCATTCCCAGAGCACCAAGGTCTCCGGCATGGGCAGTACATCTGTTTTAAAATATAGTTTTACACAATCACTGTTGATTTGCCTGACTTGGATATCCCTCCGTCTCAGGTCCCTCATCACCACGCCATGTCCTGGCACTCCCTCTGTCCATATCAGCCATCCAGGTGAGGTGGCAGCCTCCAGAAGATCCCAATGGAGGCATCATTAAATACATCATAGAATACCAGCCAGTAGGCCAGGGGAACCCTCACCCATGGGTGGACACAGACGATGGAAACAAGACCGCCAAAGATGTGACAGCTCTCAATGGCAGCACGCTCTACCAGTTCAGAGTGAGAGCTTTCTCCAAAGTGCCGGGAGAGTGGAGCAAGATTGTCAAGGCAATGACACAAGGGGATGGTGAGTAGGAAGTCATTGATGCTACACGAGATTGACTTTCTTATTGTAAATAATTGGGGACCTAGATATGGTATGTCAAACAAGAAAAGTTCACAATACTACAGCAAAATCTATGATTTTTTTATATTGAATAATCCAATATAATCACTTAAATCAAGGACTTTTAAATATTTTTGGAGAAATGTTTATTTTCTCTTCAAGCTAAAAGTAACTCCCACTGGAAAATGTCTACACAATTCTAGTGTTGCCAACATTTTGCTTTTCCCAGATGGTGAGACCACCCACCATGACAGAGATTTACTCAGGATAATAATATATATAAAGCCTATTTATCTCAATCTCCCTACTTGGGGATTCTTTCCTTCTTCCACCATGCCCCTCTGTCTTCCCTTTCCATCTCTTCCCCTTTGCCAAAAAAGGTATTCAGAGTTTGATCCCAACCACGCAGGGTGTGGCTGGGAAGCCTGTTGGGGACAGCTACCAGCTGTTGGTGGCGGTGGTAGGCTCGGTGACCGTCACCTGTGTGACAATCCTGCTGGCGCTGTTGGCTCTTTTCTTCATCCGCAAGACGATGCTCAACCGCCGGCGCACGTTCACCTACCAGTCTGGATCGGTAAGGGTCTGAATTTTTGGGGAAAGCATAGGGATTTCTCAGGTCTTTGTTGATGTCATCTGGCAAGACCTTTAAATGAATGTGTATTTATTGCCAAGCTTAAGACAGTTTATACCCCCAGGGTGAAGAGACTATTCTACAGTTTAATTCAGGAACTCTGACCCTGACGAGGAGGCCCAAACCGACGCCAGAGCCCCTCACCTATCCAATCCTGGAGTGGGAGGACATCAAGTTTGAAGACGTCATTGGAGAGGGAAACTTTGGCCAGGTATTTAAGCGCTTACTGTATTTTCTGAATATGTTAAATGTTTGTCTTTTGGTGGATGTCCTTTATTCACTGGTTTAAATATTCATGCTAACAACCTTTCTCCCAACCAGGTCATCAAAGCCATGATCAAGAAGGATGGCAGCAAAATGAGTGCAGCGATCAAGATGCTAAAAGGTAACACTGGCACACACTGGCACCCAGCAAATATGGTCCAGTGCAGGGAATTATTTGACTGATTCAATTACATTTGATACAACTTTATTGATCAACAAATGCAATTTGATTGTCGGCATGAGTAAAAACAGACCACAAAACTATAGGTTACTTACGTAACCCCAGTTCTCAGAGTAACATGAAGTGAGATGTCTCACTATGGGATGCGCCTCATCGCGGAGCAAACAGAAGCATCAATCTCATTACGCCAATCCTGATTGGCTGGTGATCTTGACGTCAGCGTCAGGGAATCTACCCCCTATAAGTAGCTTGCGCTACGCCGCATGCATCATTAAAAAATAAGCACCTCTTCTCGCTTCACCATAGCAAGGAGGGCCGTCTGGTGAGACATCTCACTTCATGTTACTCTGAGAACTGGGGTTACGTAAGTAATCTATAGTTCTCATTCGTAACACTCCGTCCGATGTCTCACTATGGGATATTGTAGCTCCCGTATTGCCAGACGAGCTTATCTCGAAAATCACCAAACCCAACCAGAATTTAACAGTTAGAGCTCTAACTCAGCAGGGGGCCCAGCACTGCATGGGCCACACTGGGAGCAGAGATGTCTAATCTGTAAAAGCGGACAAAAGTGAGCGACTCGAGGTTATTTTTCCGTGTTTGTGTGTGACTAAGGGTCCGCAGGTGAGGAAGTCGTTCTTGCGCTTTGGTGGACTGGGCGGCCAGCCTGGATGCTCTCCCGAGCCGGACGAGGCGTCGGCGGTACTGGCGAGCGACCCGTCGGTGGGAGGGCGGGGAAGCCATGCAGCTGAGGTGTGGTTGCGGTTGGGCTTTGCCGCCGAGTGGTCTCGTTGGGGTGGTCGTGTTCTTGTGGGTCTGGAGGTGGGTAAGGTTCTCTCCGAGTGGTGCCGTCTTGGCCAAGGTCGGTCGAACTACCTCGCCGACCTTGCGCCGGTGTGTGATTCTCCGGCGATCGCACATACGGGCGGTCCGTGAGTTACGAGAGGAGTGTGGGTGCCTCGGGGCGGGGGATCGGCTCTCGCCTCGGCTACGCTCGGGCTGGGCTCTGGCTGGCGTGTGCGTATTGGACCCGGCGGTCGGGCGAGGTACGTAGTCTAGCTGTGCTCTAGTGCTGTAAACGGACCGTAGGCACAGCGTCGGCTCTGTCAGGCGTGCTTTATGCGTCGGTGACCGGTGTCGCGGTATGTACGGGTGTTTACCCTCACGTGTGTCCGCTCTGGGGTCAGGCAAAAGAGTTGGACTGGGTTGGATCAGCGAGGTCTGGCTACAGGGCGCCCGCTGGTGGCGGCTTCCTAGAACTGGGCGCTCAGCAGTCTGTCAGTGGTGTCTCCCAGTAAAAGGCCGAGTGGCCGCGAATAATCAGCTCTACTATGCTTGTATCGTCGCGCTACACTCGTCAGCTTCTTTTCCTCATGTGTATCCTCTGGAGAGACACGTTGTGTACGGACGTGTGTGCGGGGTTTTCCTGGGTGTTGTGTGGTTGGTCCTATTTGTCGCTGCTCTTGTTGTATTCCGCCTTTGTATATATGGATGATTGTGTGTCTTTATGTGTTAGCCGGGCATTATTTGTATTCCTTGGGGTTCTTCCGTCGTCTTCCCGTTGGATGTGTTCGACCTATTGCGCGTGGGTCTCGGGGTTCGGGGTCCGTCTCTGCTTCCGCTTCGGTTTAGCTTACCTTGACGTGCAGCCGTGCGTCCAGTGTCGGCATGTGTGGTCTTGAGTCTAAAGCCTCCAGTCGTGTTGAAAGTCCACCATTGTAGCTAACCGGACCCCTCTTTGCCGCGAGCTTGACCAAAATCAGGCTGCGCATAGGCGGACGGTCTGCGTCCGTGTCTTGTCAACACGCTTCTCCTAGAATTTAGGCCTCCTAGGGGCTCGGGACCTCATTCGGGGGTACTACGCGGGCAGGACCACTACAAGCCATCAAGTGGTGGGAGACTGTCGGGATTTTCTCCCCGTTCGGCGGCAGGTCCGGCCTGTCGGATTCAATGGAGATCCGTGGACCTTCCACGTCTCTGGCTGGGTACAGTTGGAGTGAGTCGGGCGCCGTTCCCTTTTTCTGGGCGGACGTGGACTGTCGGAGGAGAAAAAGGCGCAAGAGGCAGCACCACCTTGTCTCGTGACGGTCATGAGTAAGCGGGACATGTAACGGGTGTCTCCTTGGGTTGGGGCGTCTCTGACGGCTGTGGAAAGTCGCGTACGGATGCGTTCCGCTGCCCGCGGTAAGAGAGGGGAGAGCCGCGGCGACGCTGTGTGAGGACCCAACGCTGCTCCTCCCCTCCATAGGGGTCTCGTCCAGAGGCGGGTTTGTTGTTTTTGTGTGTGTGTTTTCGCCCAGTGACTCCGGTGGTCTGTTTCTTCTTCTTCCGCTGTCGTCGGAACTCCGTGCCCACATTCCTAGTCCCTCCTGTTGTGGTGGTGGGAGGTCTAGGTCAGTGTTTCCCCGCACTCGGTCTTTTGTGTCTTTCGAACCTACTGGGTGACCTCCGTTCCAAACTCCGCTTGGCTTCGGTTGCGTAGTGTGTAACGACGGACGCCGGTGTCTTCCCTCCTTGTCTGCTCTATCGCGTCCATCTCTTCTCGCTCCGTCCGCCGGATCCTCGTACCAAAACGGGACATCCGCATAGACGGGGTTTTGGCGTCGCTTCGTTGGTTTTTTAGGTGCGTACAGCCGTTCCCTCATACCCTTACTTCCCAAAATCATTGAGGCGAAGGTTTTTTGCGGAGTATTTTCTCAACGCTGGATAGCCGCCAGCGTCCTAAGTCGTCCCGGCCTGTTACGAGGCACGCGAACGTGTGTCGGCTTGTGTCTATTACTCACATATTTGTTTTACCTCCGTTGTCTGTTCCGTTCGTTTACTTGTAGCTACTTCATGGAGTGTTTTGTGTGTGACTCCTCGCGAATGGTCGAGAGAGTTTTTCGTCCTATTTTTTGTCCGTGTGTGTGTCGTTGTTGTCGCGTATGTGTATTTGTGTGTTGGCAGTGCGCGCTTACGCGCACGGCCGACCCCAAGCCTTCCGTGAGGTGGCGTGGCGGGGCGTACGTTGTGTTTTTTCTGTGTTGATAGTGTTTAAGTCATGTGTTCTCCCGGGGGTTATGGTGTTTCTGATGTCTTTGCACTTGTAGATGTGCGACCTGTAGGATCCTTCGTTTGTCACCCTCTACGGTGTCGCAGCGCCCAAAAATTTCTGTCATTTGCTGCCCATGTCTCGGTTAAGCGACAGGTGGGAGAGCGAAGAGCGCGCAAGACATAAGTGTTCGGGCTCCTCTCCAGTCGGTATACGACCTCTCTCTCTAAGAGAGTGAAGTCTTTCTTCCGATCATAATTTATGGGGGCTCGTCTCAGTCTTCGGCCGAAATCAAGGTTTCATAAAGAGCCAGGGTTCTGCCCCCTCCTTGCCTTAGCCGGTTATGATCTAAACTCCAGAGACTTGTGCATAGATTTTTCTATGTTTAAGTCTTCCAGTGAGTGTGTAAGAAGACGCAGCGCACGCTGTTTTGTCTGCCAAAATTTGTGTCAGCTGGACTTTCTACGCATAAAAGGTGTAGGGGTCATATCAATGGGTGTGTCCTTTATAGACTCCAAGGCGTACAGTCCCTAGAACAATGCTTATGTCTCATAAGGGGAAGCAGACAGAGAGTCAGTTCTCACAACTATGCTACTGCCTTCGGCGCTATCGGGGCAATTCTGTGTCCCTATAAGCGGACCGTATGGATGGTATCTGCTGACCGAGAAGAGCGTGTCAGCCTGTCTCTCGAAATGCGTCTGTTTACAGGAGCATTTCGTGGACGAGTTGGACCCAAGTATTATTATGTGTCTTTTCTCGTACACCAGGGCGTGTCTGGACTTGGAAAGGACCAATTGGCTTTGGCACGGAATGTCGGGCGGACAGTCGCCTTTCTCACTTCGAAGTCTCGAACCGCGAGCGATGTAAGGTCGACGCGTTTGGTACAAGAAAAGTCTAGTACGGACGCCATGACCCCCGGTACCGCAGTCGGTAGACCCAGCATGGCCCTTGCCAATGTGTACTCCCTACACGTCGCGACCCATCTGGCGAGTTTTTATTTGGGGCGCCGCAGTACTCGCGCCTTCTCACTACCAACTGACACCTTTACGCATACCGGACCGCGGTGACCGCGTGGCTGAAAGACCATTGCCCCGCACGGATACCACGACAGGAAAGTGCCTTCCACCAAGTGGTGTCTGCGTAGCTGTCCGACCCCGTCCATATTGTTCCGCAGGCCACTCCCAGGACCACGTCTCTGGAGGTCGCCAGGGGTGTATTTAATGGACCTCGAAAAATCGCCACAGGAGTGGGATTGCGAAAGACTGGAAAAAGAGCTCCTGCTTGGTCAGAGCACTCTGCCTGTTCTGCTGGTGTTATATCTATATCTTGGGGTTCCCCCAAACGCGAGAGAGCGTCAATGTGTACGACCGTTGCGTTTGACTAGATACCTCGACGCCGGCAGAGGCGAGAGACTCTCGCTTGCGTGCATGGCCCATACTCTTGTGAGCCCCGTCTGGCGACAGGTCTCCACATGGTCGACCATACGTCGACCTGAGATGTAGGTTACCAACCACTCGGGTCGGACACCCACGCAATGCCGGCTCGGCGCCATCTAGACAAGCCGTAGTTTTCTTTACGGAGTGAAGTGAAAAGGAAAGTACGCGCTAGTTTTTGCGTGGTAATCCGCACCCTGCGCGAGCGGTGTAATCCCCCACCGGAGGCCAGGAAGGACATGCGAGGTGGGACCCGCGACATGTGGGTTGAGCACGGTCTCACTCCCTTTGCCGCTGTGTGTTCACTCAGGACTATGTGGCGTTGTCCGGGACGTTACATGACCGACGTCCTCTATTATAGTCCTGCGACACGCCAGTCGGCACCGTCGGCAGGGGATTCTGCGTTACTGCTATGACAGGGACGGTCCGCCTCCCCCTGCTAGAAGTGGGTGTGGGGCCTCGCGTACCGGGGATTA